TTCACTAGATGTGGTAGGGGTTATTGGGAATTTGGCGGCGAGGGTACTCGAGACGAATGAGTGAGTCGATCCGGAATCAACTAGAGCATAAACGAGATTGTTACAAACGTAAATTGTACCTGCTATCATCGAAGGGTCGTCTTCGGCTTCATCTTTGGTCATTGCAAACACTCGACCGGGAGCTCGGTTTTGCGGTGGGGGTTGTGGGCAATCCCTTATCAAGTGCCCTGGTTTTCCGCAGCGATAAAAATTGTTGGTTCCTTGAGCACATGGTCCAAAGTGAGGTTTCCGACATTTTGGGCAAATCGGTCGGGCTGGTGGTGTAGCATGGTTTTGAATCATTGGACGTTTTCCATTGTTTTGGCTCGGTCCGGGGTGGGGCCTCTTCCATTTGTGAGTAGTGGCGGGTGGAACGGATCGAGATTGACGAATCACTTGCTCGGCTTGGTCTGCTTCGAGTGCTTTGTCGACTATTTTTCGAAAAGTCGTTACGGAAGACATGCGGACATCTCGTTGAATGACCGGGTTGAGGCCTCTAAGGAAATGGTTGGCCTTTTCGTCGGCGTCTCGTGATATGAATGGGGCGTAGAGACATCCTTGTTCGAATCGCCGTACGTACTCGGCTACGGATAAGTTGCCTTGCTTTAGCTCGAGAAATTCCTTTAGCTTCTGAGCTCGGAGGTTTTTGGAAAAGTACTTTTCGAAGAACAAGATTTTGAAAGCGCTCCAAGTAGTGTTCGTTAGGTCGATTCCTTCTTTGGTACCTTCCCACCAATGACGGGCTTCGTTCTTCAATAGGAAAAGAGAACAATGGATTCGATCTCGGTTGGACATTTCCATGTAGTCGAAAATGACTTCTAGGGATTTGATCCATTCTTCGGCTATGGTTGGATCGGGGCCTCCATGGAATTCGGCGGGGTGCATTCTTAGAAACCTTTCGTAAATGGCGTGGGGTGCGGTATTTTGAGTTGGTGGGGGTGGAGGGTTCTGGTTTTGGAGGTTAACAAGGAGTTGAATTTGTTCATTTTGTTCTCGGACGAGGGCGGTGAGGTCTTGTATGGTGCGAGATTGATCGTTCGGACCGTTAGCGGCGTTTTGAGCTCGAGTTTGTGCTCCCGACACTTTAGTACTTAAAACAAATAAACACTTCTTATTAGTTAAGAAATGTGCACATATAAACACATACCTGCCCGAGTTCTTAGTTGATGTCGTCATTCGAGGATTTCGGAGATCTTTAAGTTCATATGGAGATTTTCCGGGGATCGTTGCTCTGATACCACGTATGTGTGACACCCATTTTCTAGTTATACCTAATTAGTATTTTAGAATATGATAGCGGAAGACTTTGAAATATATTAATCGGGAATAGAAAATTCCGAAATTTTTTTTCTTTTAGAATCAGAGTAAGAGTGTCCACATATTACCAAACAACATTCACTTAATCAATTTCACAAACTATGCATGCATGACTAGAGATTAAGTCCCATTTTAGCAATGTGAGAAAATTTTGGACAGTTTCGATCTATCAATCAAACAAATTAATAACTCTCTAACCGCTCATGCAAAACACTTAAATTTTTTACCACATGCTCTAATAAGGGCCTAGATATCCTAGTAAAAACAGTTTTTAAATAACTTTAGCCATTTGAAAGGAATAATTAAAATGGTACATCTGTACAGTTTAAAAATCTAAAGCAGGGGAGTGATCTTTGAAAAATCTTTATAAATTCTCTACTGTTTGAGAAATCATCAAATTCTATAATAAAGCACATTAGTAAGTTAGGAGTTTATCCCAAGTGGAATAAATCCTTTTTAGTGAGAAAAACTTCATATTTTATTGTAAATACTAAAATGACTCTGTTTCAGAGCAGTGTTGGGAAACAATTCATAATTAATTCATGGCTTATCCAATTAATGCAAAAGACCTATCAACATGAACCTAACAGATAGACCTATGATGCTGTAAAATTGCATGCAATAATGTATACAAGAGATAATTAACACAAATTATTAAACTACTAGGCAGAACACAACACATAACTAGCCGATGGACATTTTATAAGGTTTTTAGGAAAACTTGCCCTAAAGTTACACAAGTTTTTTAGGAAATACCATAACATATATCAAAAGAGGTAATTTTACTCCTAAGTAACATTACATATTATGCATCAATAGTAAGTTCCTCCAATAGGCGGGAGAGAACGATAGTAAACACATAGAACGGTGTCGAATATCCTTAATAGCAAATTATACAAATAAAACCACATTAGTATATTAAGAGCACCCAAAATCCACCATGCCTCCATATGAACTCTTCTCCCGATCCACGAACTCAACTTCAACCACGATCCTCGGGCTCGAAATCGGGTTATCCTACAAGCAATTCAACACCTATATGAGTCTTTGAGACTCAATGAGAATTCCATAGAATATCAAATACACTTGGACAAGGAATTATATAGTCATACATATACAAATATACATATACCTCAATCACCATTTCTTTAAGAAAATTTACCGATTTACCTTTACCTTCTCGGTTTACCTCTTAGAACATTTCGATTTACCTCTTAAACCTTCCTTTCATCATTTCATAAGGAATAAGAGGAGATCCCTCACAAGGGAGTCGTCATTCTTTTGCACATACATTCATTCAAGTGCTCATACAACGTGCAAGAAAAATCATTTTCTTTAGTCGGATATCCTTTGGAAAATCAAGTAAAACCATAGACAATAAGCCTTCATTTATTTGGAACCCGTTTCATAAGTGGAATCAAACCACACACTCTTCATCTCATGTTTGGGGTACCGGTCCCTCATACCCCGTGCTTATTCGATCTATGTTTTACAAGACTTTCCAATTTTAAAAACGTGCAAGTGAGGTTAGTACATACTTTCATTCATTTCAAGCAATTTGATTAGGTGTGTGAGAAAACATTTTTCGCTCGGATATCCTTTGAAAAATCAAGTAAAACCATAGACAATAAGCCTTCATTTATTTGGAACCCGTTTCATAAGTGGAATCAAACCACACACTCTTCATCTCATTTTTGGGGTACCGGTCCCTCATACCCCGTGCTTATTCGATCTATGTTTTACAAGATTTTCCAACTTTAAAAACGTGCAAGTGAAGTTAGTATATATTCTTCATTTCACATATTCAAAGTTAGCTTTCACATAAGCACACATATTTCCACATATTTCACAAATGCACATAGTTTAGTCACAAAATCACAAAAGCAAGTAAAACTCAAGCAAAGAACATAGATCACATATTTACACATAAAGGAAAACAATTCAAAGCATTCGGTTATTTATAATTACTATCTCCAAGTTTCATTAATTAAAGTTCAAGCCCTCTTTCTCAAGAGACTTGAAGTTTTCTCTCAAGTAACACCAAATTTCATTTATTACATCTTCTTTCCAAAATATTCAAACCATCATCAACAATTCAATCGCACTCAATTCCATTTTTATTAATCTTGTTCTCGGTTTTTATCTTCGTATATTATCTTATTACTCATAGATCATAAACCATGGATCATAAGCTTCCTCGACCCGAAGGGAGTACACTTACAACCACGCAGGTCGATATATATACACATAGAAACATATACTTATATATAGCACATATAGATTATAAATAAACCATGGATCAAGTACTTTCTTCGACCACGCAGGTTTACGAAAACCATGGATCGAAGTTTCCTTAAGATCACGCAGGTCTAGTATATATATATTTACATATACATAAATAAAAATTAAATTATCATATTATTCTTAGTTCTTCAAGATTATTTCAATTAACGCTTAGATCATTACATGCATGGATCATCTAACAATAAACAAGCAAAGTAATATAACTTCCCAAATTTTCGGCCATTAAGAACAAAGAAGGAGAAAGAAGAAATAATATTGGTGAAGAATCACTTGTAGCAAGAATATGAAATTCTCACCTAGTTTCTCTTGGGAATATGAAGGAATTGGTGGATTGAATAACCCACTACAAGAACCTTGAAGAAATTATAAAGAAATTAGAAGAAAACATTAGGGAATTTTCGAAATTGAAAAGGAAGAAGAAAATTGAGAGCTTTCTTACACTTCTAGTTGAAGAAACTTCTTTTTGGAAATGAAGAGAGATTTTGAGCTTCCTACACTAATAATTTCGAAATGTAGGAGAAGAAGAGAGATGATGTTTTCTTAAGAGCTTTAAGATATGGTGGAGAAGATGAGAATTCATTTGGGTGTTGGGTTCTATTTATAGAGTTTTGCAAGCATTTGGGGGTGTTCTTGGAATTTCATCTTTAGGTGGGTTGGATTGGAGATGGTTCTATGGCTTGAGCTTGAGTAAAAATGGAGTCTTGGTGAAGGGATGGTGGTGATGGCCGAATTTAGGGAGAGAGGAAGAAGAAAGAGAATGGGTTTCAAATGCTTAGGTGGAAAGAGAGAGAAAGTGGGTCTTGAATTAAAAGGTAAAGTGAAGTACCATTCTCAATAAAGAAGGTACAAGCCACTTAAGCCTTCAATTCTCCCAATTAATGAGTCTTTCTACATTAAAGAATTGTACACATGGAAAATAAAGTCCATGTGTGTCTCCACATGGCCGAAAATTACAAGAAGAGTGGGGAAAATTTTTATTTCTAAGTTTATTCACTCATTTAATTATCTAATATGCATGAATTTATTATTTTTCTAAAAAAATAGTGTATGCATAAATATATTCCAACTATCCAAATTAAATTCTAGAATGCAATAATCTAATTAAAATATGAAAATTTTCAATTAGTTATTTTCGTGTGAAAATTTTCAAATATTCGATCCTAATAAATCAACTAATCACATAATTCAAGTCACACATAAAGTACATCAAGAATGCATGTTTAATTATACTAGCTCATAATAAATTATCCTATTAGCACATAAAAATTCTAAACGTAAAATCTACTTATGAAAAATAGTAAAAATATAAAACGAGTTATCCGAAAGGGCGGGGTGTTACATTGAATACATCAGTGTAGCGCGCGTGCGGCCCAGAACATCTAAGGGCATCATAGACCTGTTATTGCCTCAAACTTCCGCGGCCTAAAAGGCCGTAGTCCCTCTAAGAAGCTGGCCACGAAGGAATACCTCCGCATAGCTAGTTAGCAGGCTGAGGTCTCGTTCGTTAACGGAATTAACCAGACAAATCGCTCCACCAACTAAGAATGGCCATGCACCACCACCCATAGAATCTAGAAAGAGCTCTCAGTCAATCTCTCAGTGTAGAAAACGCTCCCCAAAGTTAGGAAAAGATTTTTCCGCCCTCTAGGTCTTCTCAACCAAAAAGGGTGCTTTCCGGCGGCGCTCCTCCTTCTCCGGTGGTCGGATTCTCGTGGTGGCAACACCATTCAATTCGTCTCATCGGCGCGCTCACATCGAGGGTGATTTTGTGTGGATCTGTCGTCGGGTACGGGAGTTTCGTTTTGTCTCCTCTTTCGTTTTCAAGGTCTGGTACGTGTGTTCGACGTGGGTGTGTTTTGATCGTGATTGTGTGTTTTCCTTGTTTGTTTGTGCGTGGATCGACCGGATCTACGAATTGGTGAGGATTGGCCACGTCCTAGTGGTAACGGCGTGTGTTTTGGAGGTATCTCCGCAGGATCTTGGCCGTGCGCTTATTGACGGCCATTGATTCCGGTTGGGGGCAAACGGCCGGTGTTAGGGATCCGGCGGAATTGACGGCTAGGGTTTTTCCCAAACCCTTGACGGCTAGGGTTTTGGGCCGGTGTTGGGTCGCTTAGTGGGCCTTGGGGCTAGGGTTTGTTGACCGGAGGTGGGCGGCTAGGGTTACCGGCCGGTTTTGGGGGGCTAGGGTTCCTTTGGCGGCTAGGGTTTTCCGGCCGGTGTTGGGGGATCTTGGCCGGTGTGGGCGGCTAGGGTTTCTCGTGGGCTTGGCGGATTGGGCTTGGGTAGGGTGCTACAAGGGGCTAGGGTTTGACGGCCGCTATGGCCAGGAAAAAGGGCGGGGGTGTGTCGGGTGACAAAGGCAAAGGAACTGCTGGTGGAGGGGATAGCGTGAAACCGGCCGCGGCCGGGAAAGGAAAAGGAGTGGCCGGTGTTGGGGATGGTGTGGTCCCGGCCCCCGCTGGGACGACACCGGTCACAACTCCGATTGTGGCTACGACGTCATCCACAATTCCACATGCCGAAACATCAATGGCGGGTGAAATTCGTGGATCTACAACGGGGCAGCAATCCGGCGAGGGCGAACGAGTGAATTGGGATCAATTCTTCAAAGGACGGCCGCCACCACCGGAGGATCTTGCACTGGATTCAGTGAAAGGCTTGGACGACACAAACGTCCTCAAATTTGATGAAGATGACGAGACAGATTGGGGAACGAAGGGCGTGTTTTTGGCCGTCGCTTATTTTCCGGGGAAATTCCCCGGAGTTGAGGCCATACGCGCGATCAAGGCTCAATGGGAGGTCCCGGTGAAGTTTCAGATCCATCCTACGGGGTGGATTGTGTTCAAATTCACAACGGACCAAGATCGTTCGAATGTGGTGGAGAAGGGGAAGTTCGAGCATGGCCTAGCGACGCTATACATGTTAGAGTAGGTGACCAACAAGCCAACCTGTGGCTGTGGTGTTTCGTATTTATTATTGTAATAAACGAACCTTTATTCGTATTAATGATAAAACACCTTGGCATTCTATATCTTTGTCCCTTTGTCACAAGCATAGATATAGTCCTTACAGTTATTACAAGTACTAGTAATTGATCGTTAGGATCGTGAGATATTTACTTAAGTATTATAACTGTTAAACGTGTTCCTAGTCGAAGGGTTACGCCACTAATGAGGATATCGGCCTTTCCCATTAAGACTAGCACTTAGTGTATGTGTACTGCATCTCATCAGTAAACGGTATTGTGATATCGGCATGCATAAGTGGGTGCTCGTAAGTTGACGAGTTCACTGAACTCCCTCACCCTAGAAATCTCTAAGTGGTTCCCAATAATCGAGTAGAGATATCTATGGTATAGTTGTACACCATTAGTCCTTATGACCTAGACATCACCGTGACTTCACTAGAGGACCAGCTGTATCGTGACCTGTCCCTGAGTTCCACCGAGGACCATCCCAAGGGCCAGTGTTCGTGCAGTCCGAAATCTAGTGGGAGGTCTGTGCATTGTAGTCGGGGATTCGATCGCTAGAATAGTCTTGGATGTCCTGTGTGTTCTGAAAGTTTGTAATCATTCTAAGTCTCTGGCCAGAGCTGACTAAGTGATGATTAGAGAATTCGATTCTCTAAGTCATGCACGTAAGGATTACAACACTTGGAACGATCGCACCGTCATCGAACATATAAAGAGGTCTCGATGAACCAATGCCTCTAGTTCGATCGGGACATATGAATCGAAGGGACCGTACTGTACGTTAACTATATCTGAAGGTTCTTGCAGGCACTTCATTTGTATCTAGGGAATCATGACGCGTAGTTGCTAGACGCCAATCTTGATTCGTTGGGTGATTAAGGTGAAACGAGCTTCATCTTAATCGTGACTCGAAGGGGACGAGTTTTGACCACAAAGGGTTGTGGGCCCACGGCTAGCTTACACCTGAACCATCGAGGGTCACACTGCTCGTGCACATGAGATCTTTGAATAAACGGTCAGAGATAAAATAGTTTATCTTTGCATGATTGGAAGTCAATATGATTAAGTCCAACATTCGTAATTTGGAATTACGGATGAGAATAAGAAAGAGAAAAGAATAGGCGAAAGTATTAGTGAACTTTCTAAATCGGGAAGTTTCCAAATTTAGAAAGTGCACTGAACTAGGGTTTCCACTTTTGGAAAGTTGGAAATCGAGAGTTGGCACTCGTAATGACGAGGAAATTATAATGATTCCGAAAATGTAATCGTTGCAATTTTTCGGACATTGAATTGAGAGAGACGAGCGATTAAAGGAACTGACAAGCTTAAGCTGTTGGGCCCGGTCCAACTTAAGCCCGCTAGGGTTTTATGCAAGGGACTATAAATACATGATTTATAGGCGTTGCACAAACACACAAAACCCTAACCCTAAGCGGCCGACCCCTCTCTCTCTCGGCCTCTCTTTCCGCGGCCACCACCGCGCCGCTGTCGCCTCTCCGTCGCCGTCCATCGGCCGTTTCTTTTCGGTATTCTTTCCTCTTTTCGTTTCTTCCGTTTTATTCTAACTACTTCGTGTCTAGTGCCACGTTTTAGTAGATCGAAGTATACGAGGTGAAATCCGAGAGGAGGAAGATCGTAGATCGAAGAATCGAGGAGCAACGCACGAGCCGAAGCCGCACGCTGCCCCACGCGCCGCCCCGAAGCCGCGCGTATACCGCACGCGCCGCCGTGACCTCACGCGCCGCTGCTGCCGCTGCACCGCTGCTGCCCCGATTCTACGGATTGGTTTCCGTAGCAATCTCGACGTGTTAAACGCTCCTACCTCACGCGTCAAGAGGTAAATACACGAAACCCTAGTTTCGATTCGATTAGGTTTAGACTATGATTTCATGTTTGTTTCGTATGATTTTATGTGATTATGTGTAATCGTTTTAAATCATTACAAGCATGTTATTTGGTTTAAACGCGAGCATGTTAATTGATTTAAATTCGGTTAAATTTATTAGCATGTATGTTGTTTTTAATTTCGCTGGAAGCGCAAAGGTACGCAATTAATTGATTTAATTTGTCGGGCATGTAATTGTGTGTTTTAAAGTCGTTTAAATCGCATAAAATTTTTGTTTTCCGCTGCGTATGCGTGCCCGAAACCCAACAGTGGTATCAGAGCTCGTTGCGCAATTAATTGCGTCGTTTTATATGCTATGATTTTATGCATGTTCGATTTATTAAAGTAGTGATTGTCGTATTATGTAATTGGGAGTTTTCGTAAGTTTAAAATATTTTTGAAATATTGTTTAGAGTTTTTCCAGCTTTAAAATTGTTTAAAATTGGAAAATCGGATCTGAAATTATTTTTAAAACATCGGTTTTTAGGTGTTCGGATCGAACCGGTCGAACCGGCCGGTTCGATGGTTGTGTGCGATTTAGTTGACCGAATCCAAGTGGATTCGGGTCGGTCAGACCGGTTCTCGGTCCGACTGACCCGGCCCACTGATTTGGGTCAGCTGGACCGGACAGAACCGGACCGCTTCGGTCCGAACCGGTCAGACCGGTTGGGCCGAACCGGTTCACTGAAAATAAAAAAAAAAATAAAAAAAAAAAAATTCAGATTTCTAAAATTAAACTTAAAACAAATTGATTTTAATTTTTGGAAAATTATTTTCAATTAATCCCAATTAGATAATTGGATCGACAATCATCTATTTTAGTAAATAGGTGTTAGATTAATTAATTAATTTAAATTGTTAAATTGATTTCAATTAATAGAACACATTTATAATATTGATTATAAGTTCAACTTAATTAGTAGTACCTCAACATTATTTAAATGATTTATGCTAGTTGAGGTTCTATAATTATTTTGAAAAACTCGATAATTAATTAATGTAATTAATTATGTAGTTAGTGTTAGAGTAGGTGACCAACAAGCCAACTTGTGGCTGTGGTCTTTCGTATTTGTTATTGTAATAAACGAACCTTTATTCGTATTAATGATAAAACACATTGGCATTCTATATCTTTGTCCCTTTGTCACAAGCATAGATATAGTCCTTACAGTTATTACAAGTACTAGTAATTTGATCGTTAGGATCGTGAGATATTTACTTAAGTATTATAACTGTTAAACGTGTTCCTAGTCGAAGGGTTACGCCACTAATGAGGATATCGGCCTTTCCCATTAAGAATAGCACTTAGTGTATGTGTACTGCATCTCATCAGTAAACGGTATTGTGATATCGGCATGCACAAGTGGGTGCTCGTAAGTTGACGAGTTCACTGAACTCCCTCACCCTAGAAATCTCTAAGTGGTTCCCAATAATCGAGTAGAGATATCTATGGTATAGTTGTACACCATTAGTCCTTATGACATAGACATCACCGTGACTTCACTAGAGGACCAGCTGTATCGTGACCTGTCCCTGAGTTCCACCGAGGACCATCCCAAGGGCCAGTGTTCGTGCAGTCCGAAATCTAGTGGGAGGTCTGTGCATTGTAGTCGGGGATTCGATCGCTAGAATAGTCTTGGATGTCCTGTGTGTTCTGAAAGTTTGTAATCATTCTAAGTCTCTGGCCAGAGCTGACTAAGTGATGATTAGGGAATCCGATTCTCTAAGTCATGCACGTAAGGATTACAACACTTAGAACGATCGCACCGTCATCGAACATATAAAGAGGTCTCGATGAACCAATGCCTCTAGTTCGATCGGGACATATGAATCGAAGGGACCGTACTGTACGTTAACTATGTCTGAAGGTTCTTGCAGGCACTTCATTTGTATCTAGGGAATCATGATGCGTAGTTGCTAGACGCCAATCTTGATTCGTTGGGTGATTAAGGTGAAACGAGCTTCATCTTAATCGTAACTCGAAGGGGACGAGTTTTGACCACAAAGGGTTGTGGGCCCACGGCTAGCTTACACCTGAACCATCGAGGGTCACACTGCTCGTGCACATGAGATCTTTGAATAAACGGTCAGAGATAAAATAGTTCATCTTTGCATGATTGGAAGTCAATATGATTGAGTCCAACATTCGTAATTTGGAATTATGAATGAGAATAAGAAAAGGAAAAGAATAGGCGAACATCTTAGTGGACTTTCTAAATCGGGAAGTTTCCAAATTTAGAAAGTGCACTGAATTAGGGTTTCCACTTTTGGAAAGTTGGAAAATAAGAGATGGCACTCGTAATGACGAGGAAATTATAATGACTCGGAAAATGTAATCGTTACAATTTTTCGATCATTGAATTGAGAGATACGAGCGAGTAAAGAAACTAACGAGCTTAAGCAGTTGGGCCCAGTCCAACTTAAGCCCGCTAGGGTTTTATACAAGGGACTATAAATACATGATTTATAGCCCTTGCACAGACAACCAAAACCCTAACCCTAAGCGGCCGACCCTCTCTCTCTCGCCCCCCTCTCCTGCGCGGCCACCACCGCACCACCGTCGCCGGAACCGGCCGTTCGTCGGCGGTTCTTGTTCGGTATTCTTTCTCCTTTTATTTTCTTTCCGTTTTATTCTAACTACTTCGTGTCTAGTGCCACGATTTAGTAGATCGAAGTATACGAGGTGAAATCCGAGAGGAGGAAGACTGTAGATCGAAGAATCGAGGAGCAACGCACGAGCCGAAGCCGCACGCTGCCCCACGCGCCGCCCCGAAGCCGCGCGTACACCACACGCGCCGCCGTGACCTCACGCGCCGCTGCTGCCCACGCACCGCTGCTGCCCCGATTCTACGGATTGGTTTCCGTAGTAATCACGAAGTGCTAATCGCTCCTACCTCGCGCGTCAAGAGGTAAATATACGAAACCCTAGTTTCGTTTAGGGTTTAGTTTAAACTATGATTTCATGCTTGTGTTTGTATGATTTTATGTGATTATGTGTAATCGATTAAATCGTTACGAGCATGTTATTTGGTTTAAAACGCGAGCATGTTAATTGATTTAAATTCGGTTAAATTTATTAGCATGTATGTTGTTTTAATTTCGCTGGAAGCGCAAAGGTACGCAATTAATTGAATTTAATTTATCGGGCATGTTCTTATGTGTTTTTAAAGTCGTTTAAATCGCATAAATTTTTGTTTTCCGCTGCGTATGCGTGCCCGAAACCCAATAGTGGTATCAGAGCTCGTTGTGCAATTAATTGCGTTCGTGTTTATGTGCTATAATTTTATGCATGTTCGATTTATTAAAGTAGTGTTTGTCGTATTATGTAATTGGGAGTTTTCGTAAGTTTAAAATATTTTTGAAATATTGTTTAGAATTTTTCCAGCTTTAAAATTGTTTAAAATTGGAAAATCGGATCTGAAATTGTTTTAAAAATGTCGGTTTTTTAATTGTTCGGATCGAACCGGTCGGACCGGCCGGTTCGATGGTTGTGTGCGATTTAGTTGACCGAATCCAAGTGGATTCGGGTCGGTCAGACCGGTTCTCGGTCCGACTGACCCGACCCACTGATTTGGGTCAGCTGGACCGGACATAACCGGACCGCTTCGGTCCGAACCGGTCAGACCGGTTGGGCCGAACCGGTTCACTGAAAATAAAAAAAAAAAAAAAAGAAAAAAAATTTATTTCAGATTTCTAAAATTAAACTTAAAACAAATTGATTTTAATTTTTGGAAAATTATTTTCAATTAATCCCAATTAGATAATTGGATCGACAATCATCTATTTTAGTAAATATGTGTTAGATTAATTAAATTGATTTAAATTGTTAAATTGATTTCAATTAATAGAACACATATATAATATTGATTATAAGTTCAACTTAATTAATAGTACCTCAACATTATTTGAATGATTTATGCTAGTTGAGGTTCTATAATTATTTTGAAAAACCCGATAATTAATTATTGTAATTAATTATGTAGTTAGGTCGTATGTTCCTCTTAGGACAATATGCGTTTCCATATACCTTTAGAGAACATAGATGTAGGAATCACATAGACCAATCCAAAACCTTCTGATGAGATAAAACATTTTAATTAAAATCCCTCATTCTTTTAATTAAGAATCATTTCAAGCTATAAAGAAAAACCCAATCTGTTGAGTTATTTCTTTCCTTCTGCCAACGGTTGGATTATGTGTAGCCCTTTACTATAGTGCAGTAAGCCGTGTTAGCGGGGAGTGCTATGGTAGAGTAAGCTGTAATTCAATTGACATATTGATGAAGGTAGCCATAGAAAAGGGTTATGTTGAATTAACGTGGTCGGCTAGATTGACTAGGGACTGCATTAGTTTGGCATAATCGAGTTCTATGAGCATCTTTGATTGGTAGGTTAGACTTGACACACAACGATTTTGATATTCGCGAGATTAACTTAGGTCATTTTCAAGTGTGAGGAAAATTAATTTAGGGTCATATTGTGGATATGATTGATTGTGATCTACCTTTGGGCAAATATAATCGGGCTAGATTAACTACGGGTTATATTTGTCTATTGGACCTAAAGCCCATTAAGAAAAATCAGTTTTCTCGTTTGTCTACTAGAGGGAAGTGGAACTCGATAAAATTAGTGGGAGAACAATTAAATAACACAAGTCCAAACATTTAATTGTAACAATCATTTAACGCGAATCTCTAATAATCCTCTTCTCTATATGTCTCAGATAATCATGTCTAAGAATCCCATAATGTCAATCCTCGACAATAAACTCAATGGCCCTAATTACCTAGATTGGTTGCGTAGTCTTAAGCTTGTGCTTACGGTTGAGGGGCGTCTCTACGTTTTGAACGAGAGGCTTCCCGCCACTATACCTGCCACAGCGACTGATGCTGAAAAGGAAACTTATGAAGTTTGGAAGAAAGATGACACCCATGCTAGGTGCTATATGATAGCCGCCATGGAGCCCGCGCTAGCGAGGAAATATGAGTCTCACTTGCATGCTTTCGATATAAAGGCTCATCTCGATAGCATGTATAGTGAGAATATTAGGGCATCGAGATACGCTGCTACAAAGGAGTTGATCACAGCGAGATTGCGCGAAGGGGTTTCGGTCCACGAGCACTGTCTCAAAATGATCACTCTCCTTGAAAAGCTAGTGAATCTTGATGTCACCCTCCCGGCCGAGCTCTCGTTGGATTTGATCCTGTTGTCTCTTCCTAGTTCCTATGAATCGTTCATAGTGAACTTCAACATGAACAAACTAGATCCTCCCTTGGATGAGTTAATGAACATGTTGGTCAGCTTCGAGTCCACCATTAAGAAAGAGAAGTCTGTTCTCGTTGCTGCTACTTCTGGAAAGAAGAGTTCTTTCCAAAAGAAGAGAAAGGAAAGAGTTCTTTTCCCTAACAGCAAGTTCGAAGTGGGTGAAGGTAGTGGGGGCCCCAAAGCAAAGGTTAGCAAACAAGTTGATGATGCTTGCCATCACTGTGGAAAGAAAGGACATTGGCGCCGCAACTGCAAGGCTTACCTAAAGCAGAAAGGTTCTGAAAAGGGTACGTATTTCATTGACGTAAATTTGTCTGTCAACTCTTCTTCTTGGGTATTGGATACGGGCTGTGGCTCACATTTGTGCAATGATTTGCAGCTAATGACAAGAAGTCGAAGACTTAGAGCGGGTGAGACCTACCTAAGGATGGGGAATGGAGCAAGAGTTGCTGCTGAAGCCATTGGCACAATTTACTTAAATGTTTTGGATTCTAGTTTTCCTATTGTTTTGAACGATTGTTTATTTGTTCCGTCGCTCATTAGAAACCTTATTTCTATTCCTGTATTAGATATTGAAGGTTTTACTTTTGTTTTTGGAAATTCGATTTGCATTATACAAAAGAATGAGAATTTAATTTGCAAAGGACGACTATTAAACAACTTGTATGAACTAAATCCAAGTGAAATACCTATTAATGTTATATCAGCAAAACGTAAGGAGATAGATCAAAACCCCGCACAACTTTGGCACGCTAGATTAGGTCATGTCTCTTTAAGAAGGATGAACGATTTTGTTAGTGAAGGATTGTTCTCTTTGGAGGACGTGAAATCACTACAAACTTGTGAATCTTGCCTTAAAGGGAAAATGACCAAGTCACCCTACAAAGGGAAAATGGAACGAGCCGAGGGTCTTTTGGATTTGATCCATACAGACGTATGTGGTCCACTAAGTGTTAGTGCGAAGGGTGGATATAACTACTTTGCTACCTTTACCGATGATTATTCTAGGTATGGGTATGTATACTTGATGAAGTACAAGTCTGAAACATTTGAAAGGTTCAAAGATTTTAGACACGAAGTAGAAAAGCAACTCGGACGAAGTATTAAGAAGCTGCGATCCGATCGTGGTGGGGAATACTTGAGCATCGAGTTCATTGACTATCTAAAAGAGAATGGGATACAATCCCAATGGACTCAACCGGGAACTCCTCAACTTAATGGAGTATCCGAACGTCGGAATCGAACTCTATTAGATATGGTTCGATCAATGATGGGGTTCACAAACTTACCGGCATACTTATGGGGTCATGCACTTCGTACTGCCGCGTATTTGCTGAATAGAGTTAACACCAAAGCAGTTAAATCCACACCGTATGAACTTTGGCATTCCCGGAAACCCAATTACAAACATATTAGGATATGGGGTTGTCCCGCTTATGTGAAGCGATTAATGGGAGATAAGTTGGATAGTAAATCCGACTTATGCTATTTTGTGGGGTATCCCGAAGACTCAATGGGATACGAGTTCTACTATGTCAAAGAAGCAAAGACGTTTGTTTCGAGAAATGCCACCTTTTTGGAAAGGGAGTTTCTATCCGATAGAAAGGGCAGCATGATAGAACTTGAAGTATTTCAAGAACCACAAAGTGAAGTTCAAACGCAAGAACAAGTAATCGAACCAATACAACAAACCACTAATATACCTCCTGAACCTACGATACGTAGATCCGAAAGAGTTCGGAAAATGCCGGATAGGTTATTCCTCCTCGAAAATGATGAAGATCATGTTGATCTTGGACGAGATCCAAGAACATACAACGAGGCCGTATCGGATGCGGACATGGGACATTGGCTAACTGCCATGAAATCCGAAATGGACTCCATGTACTCCAACAAGGTGTGGACCTTGGTAGATCCACCTAAGGGAATTGTTCCTATAGGCTGCAAGTGGATCTATAAGAAGAAAATTGGAGTTGATGGAAAGGTATCGACCTATAAAGCTAGATTGGTAGCAAAAGGATACACTCAAAGGCAAGGCGTTGACTATGAGGAAACCTTTTCGCCAGTCGCGATGCTGAAGTCCATTAGGATTTTGCTGGCCATAGCTGCGTGGTACGACTACGAGATATGGCAAACGGATGTGAAGACCGCTTTCCTTAATGGAGATATTGAGGAAGAAATTTACATGGCGCAGCCGGAAGGCTTCATATCTTCTGGAAGTGAGCAAAAGGTTTGCAAGCTCCAGCGATCCATTTATGGATTGAAACAAGCATCCCTTAGTTGGAACATTAGGTTCGACTCAACTATCAAAGAGTTTGATTTTGAGAAGAATCCGGAGGAACCTTGTGTATACAAGAAGGTTAGTGGGAGGGCAGTAATATTTCTAGTGCTTTACGTTGATGACATTCTACTCATTGGGAATGACGTAGGAATGTTACAGCAAACGAAAGCATGGTTATCCACACGTTTCTCAATGAAGAATTTGGGAGAAGCATCTTACGTATTGGGAATACGCATCTATAGAGATAGAGCAAGAAAGATGCTTGGCTTATCCCAAAGCCTGTACATAGACACCGTTATGAAACGGTTTAGCATGGAAGAATCCAAGAAGGGATTCTTGCCAATGTCCCATGGGGTTCGTCTCTCGAAATCTATGTGTCCCCAAACACCTAGTGAAATCGAGGAGATGAAAAGAACGCCCTATGCTTCTGCCATAGGAAGCATAATGTATGGCATGCTATGTACTAGACCCGATATTGCGTATGCTGTGAGTGTCACAAGCAGATATCAGTCTAACCCCGGCCCGGCTCACTGGGAAGCCGTGAAAGATATCCTCAAGTACTTGCGAAGAACTAAGGATATATTTTTGGTCTATGGGGGTGCCGAGTTGAAATTAGAGGGTTTCACTGACTCTAGTTTCAATCGGATGTGGACGACTCGAAGTCGAATTCTGGATTTATATTCACGCTTAATGGTGGTGCCGTGTGTTGGAAGAGTTCCAAGCAAAGCACGACGGCCGATTCCACTACCGAAGCGGAATACATTGCAGCGTCCGAAGCTGCAAAAGAAGGGACTTGGATAAGGAAATTCATCCAAGAGTTGGGTGTAATTCCTGATGCTAGTGATCCAGTACCGTTGTACTGTGATAACACCGGAGCCGTGGCGCAAGCTAAGGAGCCACGATCTCATCAGAAGTCAAAGCATATTCTGAGGAAGTATCACGTGATCCGAGAGATCATTGATAGAGGTGAAGTTAAGGTAGAACGAGTCACCTCGGAAGAGAACGTTGCAGACCCCTTCACGAAGCCTTTACCGAGATCGGTCCATGAGAAACATCGAGAGTCGATGGGATTGCGATTTATGGGTAGTTGGCTCTAGGTCAAGTGGGAGATTGTTAGAGTAGGTGACCAACAAGCCAACTTGTGGCTGTGGTCTTTCGTATTTATTATTGTAATAAACGAACCTTTATTCGTATTAATGATAAAACACATTGGCATTCTATATCTTTGTCCCTTTGTCACAAGCATAGATATAGTCCTTACAGTTATTACAAGTACTAGTAATTGATCGTTAGGATCGTGAGATATTTACTTAAGTATTATAACTGTTAAACGTGTTCCTAGTCGAAGGGTTACGCCACTAATGAGGATATCGGCCTTTCCCATTAAGACTAGCACTTAGTGTATGTGTACTGCATCTCATCAGTAAACGGTATTGTGATATCGGCATGCGCAAGTGGGTGCTCGTAAGTTGACGAGTTCACTGAACTCCCTCACCCTAGAAATCTCTAAGTGGTTCCCAATAATCGAGTAGAGATATCTATGGTATAGTTGTACACCATTAGTCCTTATGACCTAGACATCACCGTGACTTCACTAGAGGACCAGCTGTATCGTGACCTGTCCCTGAGTTCCACCGAGGACCATCCCAAGGGCCAGTGTTCGTGCAGTCCGAAATCTAGTGGGAGGTCTGTGCATTGTAGTCGGGGATTCGATCGCTAGAATAGTCTTGGATGTCATGTGTGTTCTGAAAGTTTGTAATCATTCTAAGTCTCTGGCCAGAGCTGACTAAGTGATGATTAGAGAATTTGATTCTCTAAGTCATGCACGTAAGGATTACAACACTTAGAACGATCGCACCGTCATCGAACATATAGAGAGGTCTCGATGAACCAATGCCTCTAGTTCGATCGGGACATATGTATCGAAGGGACCGTACTGTACGTTAACTATATCTGAAGGTTCTTGCAGGCACTTCATTTGTATCTAGGGAATCATGACGCGTAGTTGCTAGACGCCAATCTTGATTCGTTGGGTGATTAAGGTGAAACGAGTTTCATCTTAATCGTAACTCGAAGGGGACGAGTTTTGACCACAAAGGGTTGTGGGCCCACGGCTAGCTTACACCTGAACCATCGAGGGTCACACTGCTCGTGCACATGAGATCTTTGAATAAACGGTCAGAGATAAAATAGTTCATCTTTGCATGATTGGAAGTCAATATGATTGAGTCCAACATTCGTAATTTGGAATTATGAATGAGAATAAGAAAAGGAAAAGAATAGGCGAACATCTTAGTGGACTTTCTAAATCGGGAAGTTTCCAAATTTAGAAAGTGCACTGAATTAGGGTTTCCACTTTTGGAAAGTTGGAAAATAAGAGATGGCACTCGTAATGACGAGGAAATTATAATGACTCGGAAAATGTAATCGTTACAATTTTTCGATCATTGAATTGAGAGATACGAGCGAGTAAAGAAACTAACGAGCTTAAGCAGTTGGGCCCAGTCCAACTTAAGCCCGCTAGGGTTTTATACAAGGGACTATAAATACATGATTTATAGCCCTTGCACAGACAACAAAAACCCTAACCCTAAGCGGCCGACCCTCTCTCTCTCGCCCCCTCTCCCGCGCGGCCACCACCGCACCACCGTCGCCGCTCCGTCGCCGGAACCGGCCGTTCGTCGGCGGTTCTTGTTCGGTATTCTTTCTCCTTTTATTTTCTTTCCGTTTTATTCTAACTACTTCGTGTCTAGTGCCACGATTTAGTAGATCGAAGTATACGAGGTGAAATCCGAGAGGAGGAAGACTGTAGATCGAAGAATCGAGGAGCAACGCACGAGCCGAAGCCGCACGCTGCCCCACGCGCCGCCCCGAAGCCGCGCGTACACCACACGCGCCGCCGTGACCTCACGCGCCGCTGCTGCCCACGCACCGCTACTGCCCCGATTCTACGGATTGGTTTCCGTAGTAATCACGAAGTGCTAATCGCTCCTACCTCGCGCGTCAAGAGGTAAATATACGAAACCCTAGTTTCGTTTAGGGTTTAGTTTAAACTATGATTTCATGCTTGTGTTTGTATGATTTTATGTGATTATGTGTAATCGATTAAATCGTTACGAGCATGTTACTTGGTTTAAAACGCGAGCATGTTAATTGATTTAAATTCGGTTAAATTTATTAGCATGTATGTTGTTTTAATTTCGCTGGAAGCGCAAAGGTACGCAATTAATTGAATTTAATTTATCGGGCATGTTCTTATGTGTTTTTAAAGTCGTTTAAATCGCATAAATTTTTGTTTTCCGCTACGTATGCGTGCCCGAAACCCAACAGTTAGGTCGTATGTTCCTCTTAGGACAATATGCGTTTCCATATACCTTTAGAGAACATAGATGTAGGAATCACATAGACCAATCCAAAACCTTCTGATGAGATAAAACATTTTAATAAAAATCCCTCATTCTTAATTTAATTAAGAATCATTTCAAGCTATAAAGAAAAACCCAATCTGTTGAGTTATTTCTTTCCTTCTGCCAACGGTTGGATTATGTGTAGCCCTTTACTGTAGTGCAGTAAGCCGTGTTAGCGGGGAGTGCTATGGTAGAGTAAGCTGTAATCCAATTGACATAGCGATGAAGGTAGCCATAGAAAAGGGTTATGTTGGATTAACGTGGTCGGCTAGATTAACTAGGGACTGCATTAGTTTGGCATATTGTGGATATGATTGATTGTGATCTACCTTTGGGCAAATATAATCGGGCTAGATTAACTACGGGTTATATTTGTCTATTGGACCTAAAGCCCATTAAGAAAAATCAGTTTTCTCGTTTGTCTACTAGAGGGAAGTGGAACTCGATAAAATTAGTGGGAGAACAATTAAATAACATAAGTCCAAACATTTAATTGTAACAATCATTTAACGCGAATCTCTAATAATCCTCTTCTCTATATGTCTCAGATAATCATGTCTAAGAATCCCATAATGTCAATCATCGACAATAAACTCAATGGCCCTAATTACCTAGATTGGTTGCGTAGTCTTAAGCTTGTGCTAACTGTTGAGGGGCGTCTCTATGTTTTGAACGAGGGGCTTCCCGCCACTATACCTGCCACAGCGACTGATGCTGAAAAGGAAACTTATGAAGTTTGGAAGAAAGATGACACTCATGCTAGGTGCTACATGATAGCCGCCATGGAGCCCGCGCTTGCGAGGAAATATGAGTCTCACTTGCATGCTTTCGATATAAAGGCTCATCTCGATAGCATGTATAGTGAGAATATAAGGGCATCGAGATACGCTGCTACAAAGGAGTTGATCACAGCGAGACTGCGCGAAGGGACTTCGGTCCACGAGCACTGTCTCAAAATGATCACTCTCCTTGAAAAGCTAGTGAATCTTGATGTCACCCTCCCGGCCGAGCTCTCGTTGGATCTGATCCTGTTGTCTCTTCCTAGTTCCTATGAATCGTTCATAGTGAACTTCAACATGAACAAACTAGATCCTCCCTTGGATGAGTTAATGAACATGTTGGTCAGCTTCGAGTCCACCATTAAGAAAGAGAAGTCTGTTCTCATTGCTGCTACTTCTGGAAAGAAGAGTTCTTTCCAAAAGAAGAGAAAGGAAAGAGTTCTTTTCCCTAACAGCAAGTTCGAAGTGGGTGAAGGTAGTGGGGGCCCCAAAGCAAAGGTTAGCAAACAAGTTGATGATGCTTGCCATCACTGTGGAAAGAAAGGACATTGGCGCCGCAACTGCAAGGCTTACCTGAAGCAGAAAGGTTCTGAAAAGGGTACGTATTTCATTGACGTAAATTTGTCTGTCAACTCTTCTTCTTGGGTATTGGATACGGGCTGTGGCTCACATTTGTGCAATGATTTGCAGCTAATGACAAGAAGTCGAAGACTTAGAGCGGGTGAGACCTACCTAAGGATGGGGAATGGAGCAAGAGTTGCTGCTGAAGCCATTGGCACAATTTACTTAAATGTTTTGGATTCTAGTTTTCCTATTGTTTTGAACGATTGTTTATTTGTTCCGTCGCTCATTAGAAACCTTATTTCTATTCCTGTATTAGATATTGAAGGTTTTACTTTTGTTTTTGGAAATTCGATTTGCATTATACAAAAGAATGAGAATTTAATTTGCAAAGGACGACTATTAAACAACTTGTATGAACTAAATCCAAGTGAAATACCTATTAATGTTATATCAGCAAAACGTAAGGAGATAGATCAAAACCCCGCACAACTTTGGCACGCTAGATTAGGTCATGTCTCTTTAAGAAGGATGAACGATTTTGTTAGTGAAGGATTGTTCTCTTTGGAGGACGTGAAATCACTACAAACTTGTGAATCTTGCCTTAAAGGGAAAATGACCAAATCACCCTACAAAGGGAAAATGGAACGAGCCGAGGGTCTTTTGGATTTGATCCATACAGACGTATGTGGTCCACTAAGTGTTAGTGCGAAGGGTGGATATAACTACTTCGCCACCTTTACCGACGATTATTCTAGGTATGGGTATGTGTACTTGATGAAGTACAAGTCTGAAACATTTGAAAGGTTCAAAGATTTTAGACATGAAGTAGAAAAGCAACTATCTAAGAAGCTGCGATCCGATCGTGGTGGAGAATACTTGAGCATCGAGTTCATTGACTATCTAAAAGAAAATGGGATACAGTCCCAATGGACTCCACCGGGAATTCCTCAACTTAATGGAGTATCCGAACGTCGGAATCGAACTTTATTAGATATGGTTCGATCCATGATGGGGTTCACAAACTTACCGGCATACTTGTGGGGTCATGCACTCCGTACTGCCGCGTATTTGCTGAATAGAGTTAACACCAAAGCAGTTAAATCCACACCTTATGAACTTTGGCATTCCCGGAAACCCAATTACAAACATATTAGGATATGGGGTTGTCCCGCTTATGTGAAGCGATTAGTGGGAGATAAGTTGGATAGTAAATCCGACTTGTGCTATTTTGTGGGGTATCCCGAAGACTCAATGGGATACGAGTTCTACTATGTCAAAGAAGCAAAGACGTTTGTTTCGAGAAATGCCACCTTTTTGGAAAGGGAGTTTCTATCCGATAGAAAGGGCAGCATGATAGAACTTGAAGTAGTTCAAGAACCGCAAAGTGAAGTTCAAACGCAAGAACAAGCAATCGAACCAATACAACAAACCACTAATATACCTCCTGAACCTACGGTACGTAGATCCGAAAGAGTTCGGAAAATGCCGGATAGGTTATTCCTCCTCGAAAATGATGAAGATCATGCTGATCTTGGACGAGATCCAAGAACATACAATGAGGCCGTATCGGATGCGGACATGGGACATTGGCTAACTGCCATGAAATCCGAAATGGACTCCATGTACTCCAACAAGGTATGGACCTTGGTAGATCCACCCAAAGGAATTGTTCCTATAGGCTGCAAGTGGATCTATAAGAAGAAAATTGGAGTTGATGGAAAGGTATCGACCTATAAAGCTAGATTGGTAGCAAAAGGATACACTCAAAGGCAAGGCGTTGACTATGAGGAAACCTTTTCGCCAGTCGCGATGCTGAAGTCCATTAGGATTTTGCTGGCCATAGCTGCGTGGTACGACTACGAGATATGGCAAATGGATGTGAAGACCGCCTTCCTTAATGGAGACATTGAGGAAGAAATTTACATGGCGCAGCCGGAAGGCTTCATATCTTCTGGAAGTGAGCAAAAGGTTTGCAAGCTCCAGCGATCCATTTATGGATTGAAGCAAGCATCCCGTAGTTGGAACATTAGGTTCGACTCAACTATCAAAGAGTTTGATTTTGAGAAGAATCCGGAGGAACCTTGTGTATACAAGAAGGTTAGTGGGAGGGCAGTAATATTTCTAGTGCTTTACGTTGATGACATTCTACTCATTGGGAATGACGTAGGAATGTTACAGCAAACGAAAGCATGGTTGTCCACACGTTTCTCAATGAAGGATTTGGGAGAAGCATCTTATGTATTGGGAATACGCATCTATAGAGATAGAGCAAGAAAGATGCTTGGCTTATCCCAAAGCCTGTACATAGACACCGTTATGAAACGGTTTAGCATGGAAGAATCCAAGAAGGGATTCTTGCCAATGTCCCATGGGGTTCGTCTCTCGAAATCTATGTGTCCCCAAACACCTAGTGAAATCGAGGAGATGAAAAGGACGCCTTATGCTTCTGCCATAGGAAGCATAATGTATGGCATGCTATGTACGAGACCCGATATTGCGTATGCAGTGAGTGTCACAAGCAGATATCAGTCTAACCCCGGCCCGGCTCACTGGAAAGCCGTGAAAGATATCCTCAAGTACTTGCGAAGGACTAAGGATATATTTTTGGTCTATGGGGGTGCCGAGTTGAAATTAGAGGGTTTCACTGACTCTAGTTTTCAATCGGACGTGGACGACTCAAAGTCGAATTCTGGATTTATATTCACGCTTAATGGTGGTGCCGTGTGTTGGAAGAGTTCCAAGCAAAGCACGACGGCCGATTCCACTACCGAAGCGGAATACATTGCAGCGTCTGAAGCTGCAAAAGAAGGGACTTGGATAAGGAAATTCATCCAAGAGTTGGGTGTCATTCCTGATGCTAGTGATCCAGTACCGTTGTACTGTGATAACACCGGAGCCGTGGCACAAGCTAAGGAGCCACGATCTCATCAGAAGTCGAAGCATATTCTGAGGAAGTATCACGTGATCCGAGAGATCATTGATAGAGGTGAAGTTAAGGTAGAACGAGTCACCTCGGAAGAGAACGTTGCAGACCCCTTCACGAAGCCTTTACCAAGATCGGTCCATGAGAAACATCGAGAGTCGATGGGATTGCGGTTTATGGGTAGTTGGCTTTAGGTCAAGTGGGAGATTGTTAGAGTAGGTGACCAACAAGCCAACTTGTGGCTGTGGTCTTTCGTATTTATTATTGTAATAAACGAACCTTTATTCGTATTAATGATAAAACACATTGGCATTCTATATCTTTGTCCCTTTGTCACAAGCATAGATATAGTCCTTACAGTTATTACAAGTACTAGTAATTGATCGTTAGGATCGTGAGATATTTACTTAAGTATTATAACTGTTAAACGTGTTCCTAGTCGAAGGGTTACGCCACTAATGAGGATATCGGCCTTTCCCATTAAGACTAGCACTTAGTGTATGTGTACTGCATCTCATCAGTAAACGGTATTGTGATATCGGCATGCATAAGTGGGTGCTCGTAAGTTGACGAGTTCACTGAACTCCCTCACCCTAGAAATCTCTAAGTGGTTCCCAATAATCGAGTAGAGATGTCTATGGTATAGTTGTACACCATTAGTCCTTATGACCTAGACATCACCGTGACTTCACTAGAGGACCAGCTGTATCGTGACCTGTCCCTGAGTTCCACCGAGGACCATCCCAAGGGCCAGTGTTCGTGCAGTCCGAAATCTAGTGGGAGGTCTGTGCATTGTAGTCGGGGATTCGATCGCTAGAATAGTCTTGGATGTCTTGTGTGTTCTGAAAGTTTGTAATCATTCTAAGTCTCTGGCCAGAGCTGACTAAGTGATGATTAGAGAATTCGATTCTCTAAGTCATGCACGTAAGGATTACAACACTTGGAACGATCGCACCGTCATCGAACATATAAAGAGGTCTCGATGAACCAATGCCTCTAGTTCGATCGGGACATATGAATCGAAGGGACCGTACTGTACGTTAAATATATCTGAAGGTTCTTGCAGGCACTTCATTTGTATCTAGGGAATCATGACGCGTAGTTGCTAGACGCCAATCTTGATTCGTTGGGTGATTAAGGTGAAACGAGCTTCATCTTAATCGTGACTCGAAGGGGACGAGTTTTGACCACAAAGGGTTGTGGGCCCACGGCTAGCTTACACCTGAACCATCGAGGGTCACACTGCTCGTGCACATGAGATCTTTGAATAAACGGTCAGAGATAAAATAGTTTATCTTTGCATGATTGGAAGTCAATATGATTGAGTCCAACATTCGTAATTTGGAATTACGGATGAGAATAAGAAAGAGAAAAGAATAGGCGAAAGTATTAGTGAACTTTCTAAATCGGGAAGTTTCCAAATTTAAAAAGTGCACTGAACTAGGGTTTCCACTTTTGGAAAGTTGGAAATCGAGAGTTGGCACTCGTAATGACAAGGAAATTATAATGATTCCGAAAATGTAATCGTTGCAATTTTTCGGACATTGAATTGAGAGAGACGAGCGATTAAAGGAACTGACAAGCTTAAGCTGTTGGGCCCGGTCCAACTTAAGCCCGCTAGGGTTTTATGCAAGGGACTATAAATACATGATTTATAGGCCTTGCACAAACACACAAAACCCTAACCCTAAGCGGCCGACCCCTTTCTCTCTCGGCCTCTCTTTCCGCGGCCACCACCGCGCCGCTGTCGCCTCTCTGTCGCCGTCCATCGGCCGTTTCTTTTCGGTATTCTTTCCTCTTTTCGTTTCTTCCGTTTTATTCTAACTACTTCGTGTCTAGTGCCACGTTTTAGTAGATCGAAGTATACGAGGTGAAATCCGAGAGGAGGAAGATCGTAGATCGAAGAATCGAGGAGCAACGCACGAGCCGAAGCCGCACGCTGCCCCACGCGCCGCCCCGAAGCCGCGCGTATACCGCACGCGCCGCCGTGACCTCACGCGCCGCTGCTGCCGCTGCACCGCTGCTGCCCCGATTGTACGGATTGGTTTCCGTAGCAATCTCGACGTGTTTAACGCTCCTACCTCACGCGTCAAGAGGTAAATACACGAAACCCTAGTTTCGATTCGATTAGGTTTAGACTATGATTTCATGTTTGTTTCGTATGATTTTATGTGATTATGTGTAATCGTTTTAAATCATTACAAGCATGTTATTTGGTTTAAACGCGAGCATGTTAATTGATTTAAATTCGGTTAAATTTATTAGCATGTATGTTGTTTTTAATTTCGCTGGAAGCGCAAAGGTACGCAATTAATTGATTTAATTTGCCGGGCATGTAATTGTGTGTTTTAAAGTCGTTTAAATCGCATAAAATTTTTGTTTTCCGCTGCGTATGCGTGCCCGAAACCTGACAATACATTCGCACCATGCCGGAGTTTTTCAATTTCGACATCAACGACATGATGTTTGTACCGGTTTGGGTGATCATCCGCAACATATCTGCGGAACTCTACAACAAAAAGGCGTTGAGTAAGATCGCTCAGAAGATTGGCAAACCGGTGCAAATGGACAAAGTTACGAGTGAGATGGGGAGGCTAGGCTTCGCTCGGCTGCATGTGGAGGTGGACGCATCGAAACCCCTACGATGATCGCTCACACTGATCAATGCGAAAGGCAAAAGCTATGAGGCCCCAATTGAATATAGCTATGAGCCGGTGTTTTGTGCAAAATGCCAGACCCTTACGCACAAGACGGACCAATGTAGAGCGGAGGCGGTGGTGAAGTGGGGACGAAGTCGAAAGCCCAAACCGGTGGTGAGTGTTGCACAAGATCCACCGGCGACCACGGTATGGGCCGGCAAACGAACGGTGCTTGTTGCGGATCCGGAGTGTGAAAAGGAGGAGGAGGCCGTGGATGTTGTGGTGACCGTGGGTGATGAGGATGGTGTTTCGGAGGATGGATCGACCGAGTGTTATGCAGCGGATGAGGATGACCGGGGTTCATTGGTGGAGTTTAATGCCCTACACTCCCCCAAATCCCCGGGGACGGCCCCCAATACGAGGTTTACTATAAAAAAGAAGTACCTTCCACCGGATGCGATTCTGATGCCTAAAGAGGGTGAATCAAGCTCGGGGGTGAAAGTTGTGTCGAAATATGTGCAAGATGGACGTGATGCTGCGGAGCCGCGGGGGGGCCTCAAACCCCCAAGGGCGAAATGATTGTGGGGTGTTGGAACGTGAGGGGGTTGCTTAATTCCCTCACGCAGAAGGAGGTCGCGGACCTCATTGGTAAGCACAAGAATTCGGTTTGTGGCTTACTGGAGACGAAGATTTGGGATCCGGGAACGCTTAGCTCGATTATGGATCGGCGGTTCCGGCACTGGAAGAACATCAACAACTTTCACCTCCACACGGCAGGCCGGATCCTTGTTATATGGAACCCGGATGTGGCTCGGGTGGAAGTAGTTGATATGACGTCGCAGGTGGTCCATTGCAAGGTAACATGTATGGTATCTCAAAGGCTATGCTATGTTAGTTTTGTATATGGACTTTTCACACCGGTTACGAGACGGCCGTTGTGGCAATCACTTGTGGAGTTTGGGGCGAGCATCACCGAGCCGTGGCTTTGCATGGGTGATTTCAACGTGGTCCTTAAGCCTGAAGAAAAGTCGGGAGGTAATTTGCTTACACCCTATTTGCTGAATGATATACAGTCGTGCTTTCGACAAAGTGGACTCGAGGATTTACCCTCAACGGGCTTCCATTACACGTGGACGAACCACACAGTGTGGAGCAAGCTTGACCGTGCTCTTGTCAACCAACTGTGGCGTGATGTTTTTGAGGGTAGTTCGGCTCGATTCCTACCGTTTGGAGCGGTGTCGGACCATTCTCCGGTTATTGTGCAATTGGGTGGGACCGAACCCCCGGTATCTCGGCCATTTCGTTTTTTCAACATGTGGACCCAGCATGAAGATTTTCGACGTGAAGTTAGTGAGGTGTGGACGGCCGATTACCGGGGGAGTCGTCAGTGGGCCGTGTGCAAAAACCTCAAGGCCCTTAAGCATCCTCTTAAGCGGTTTAACCGACGAGAATTCGGGCACATATCCGATCGAGTTAGACGGGCGGGGGGTGAGCTCGAGGAAATTCAGCAAATCTATCATAATGACCCTCATAATCATCAACTCTGCGGGGAGATGCTGACCAAGGTGGAGAAATTCCTCTTCTTGGCAAAAGCGGAGAAGAGCTTCTTCTACCAAAAGGCGAAACTTCACCATTTACGAGATTCGGATCGCGCGACGAAATTCTTCCATGGGATGGCTAAGCGGAATGCGAAACGAAACAACATTGTAGCAATTCGCAGGGCGGATGGTTCGGTTACTACCTCAAGGGATGAGGTACTTGAAGAATTTGAGTCCTATTACCGGAACTTTTTGGGCACTCGTACTACGTGCGAACCGGCTGACCCCCTTATCATTGCCACGGGGCCGACGCTGGGAGAGGAGGACCGGGAGGGATTGACCCAACCAGTGACCGGAGTGGAGATCCGTGAAGCACTGTTTGATATCGCTGACGATAAAGCACCTGGGCCGGATGGTTACACGGCTCTTTTTTTCAAGGCGGCATGGTCAACCGTGGGACCACTCCTCACGGAGGCAGTCTTGGAGTTCTTTCGAAGTGGGGAATTGCTAAAACAATGGGATAACACGGTTTTGGTTTTCATACCAAAATCAGCCCATGCTGAAACGGTAGGTGACTTTCGGCCTATTGCTTGCTGTAACGTTATCTACAAGGTGATCACGAAGGTTATTACGAAGCGCATAGAGAAGGTATTGCCCTCTATTATAGATCGGGCCCAATCAGCATTTGTTAGTGGGCGATCTATAACGGACAACATACATATGGTGGAGCAACTTATGAGGGGATACAAACGCAAAAGGATCTCCCCCCGGTGTTTGATCAAGATGGATTTACGGAAGGCCTATGATTCCGTAAATTGGGACTTTTTGCGTTCGATGTTGATGGGCCTTGGGTTCCCCGAAGAGGTGGTTCGCTGGATTATGGAGTGCGTGACATCGGTTTCCTACACTGTGTCGGTTAATGGAGTGACGAAGGGTTTTTTCCCGGGGATGCGTGGACTTCGTCAAGGGGATCCGTTATCCCCTTACCTCTTTGTCATATGCATGGAATACCTATCGAGATTGCTGCATACCCGTTCGATGGAGCAAGAGCTCAACTTCCATCCGATGTGCCATGTGCACAAATTGACGCACCTCATTTTTGCCGACGACTTGATGCTATTTTCGAGAGGCGATGTTGCATCCGTTCGTACGCTTGCCACCACTGTGCTTGAGTTTGGTCGAGCATCGGGGCTTCAAGTGAATAACTTGAAGTCGAACTTATTTCTTGCCGGAGTTCATGTGGCCGACCGTACATCGATTGAGGAGGAATTCGGATTTGCCACCGGCACCTTCCCATTTCGATACTTAGGTATTCCACTTGCTGCGTCAAAACTTCGAGTGCTGAATTACCAACCTCTTCTAGACAAAATCGAGCATGCCATTGGAGCTTGGAAGGGTCACACGCTATCTTACGCGGGTCGGTTGGAGATTTTGAAGGCGGTTGTTCAAGGTACGTGTTGCTATTGGCTTTCGATTTTCTCGGTTCCGATCACAGTTATTGGTTACATTGAGGATATGGCGCGGGATTTCTTGTGGGGCACTAGTGCTCCTAAAGTCGGTTGGGAGTACTTGTGCAAGCCGAAAGCCGATGGGGGGCTGGGACTTCGGTGTTTGCGCACGTGGAACCATAGCCTGCTAGTGAAGGACCTATGGGACATCCACCTGAAAAAGGACTCCCTGTGGATCCAATGGGTAAACGAGTTCTATCTCAAGGGCACGGCTTTGTGGGAATGGCAACCGTCGGCGACTTCACCCCCGTATTTTAAAAATATTTGTCGAATTAGGGATGAACTCGTGGGCAAGGCGGGGTCCATTCCTTTGCTTCTCGCTCGATTGGATACGTCCTCGAGTATGGGGAAGCTTACAGTTGGACGGATTTACGACTGGCCGGATGAGGGCCCCAACCGGGGGGCCGCTGTTGAGTGTAGATTTTACACTCAATACGTTTACTTTACGTGGATCTTTTGTTTAGATTTAATTATATTTGTGCTTTAATTGATTGATTTTGTGTTTTATAGGTGAAAAACGAGAATTAGGTGTCCATGAAGGAAAAAAGATCAAAAAGAAAGGAAAAAGTTGCAAATAAGGAAACAAATCAAATTGGAAGAAGGAATCTCGCCACAGCTTTGACAGTTTCCACGATTTCGAGCATATCTCTCTCATACGAACTCCGAATTAGGTGATTTTGGCGGCATTGGAAAGCTAATTTCAAGGACTACAATTCTTATTTACACAATATTCCAAAATTCGGACTCCAACATGGCGAAAATCGAAGAACAAGTCCTGATGGGGGAAAGTGGCGGAAATTGATTCCTATTAGGTTTCTACTACTTCCTTATCAAGAAAAGCCTATAAAAGCAACATGTCTCTACACCATAAGCACGAAATTTTACACCACAAAACGCGAAGAACGAAGATCAACGAAGACTCAAGCATAGTTTTTCTTATCTCTTTTATTTATTATATTTTGTTTATCATAAGAATTACGAGTAGCTAAGTTTTTAATCTAGGATTTTATTGGAACCCTATGTGGGGATTGTGAACCAGTTTTCTTGAGATTATGCAATTATGATTTTATGATTATTTCTTATACTTGTTATGATTGTTAGTGCATGAACTTGATCAATTTATGTGCTTTATCTGTGATCATTGGGATTGACTCGACAGAGCTATTTTGATAATTAGACGGTAAGTATAAGAACCTTCGAGTAGTTTTCACCGGATGAGTGTGTCAATTGCATGTGGTGTCGTAGACATACAGACATCACCTTAGGTAGCCATTTACGAGACTTGTTAGTTAATGCTTTATTTATAATTGGTTTGCATAGACATATAGTGAATCGTTTATGAATAATAGACTCATAATACACGCGACAGCGGGTTATGAGTAAATTAGTGTCTCGGGTTAATAATCATGAATCATATATTTCATAATTGAGGGGTTTTGGGTGAGCAATTCTTGCATAGGGGGAAGATAAAATCCTAGATCCGTTTTATATTGATATTTTCTCGTGATTCTTTGCTTTCTTAATTATTTTAATTGTTTAATTGATTTAATTCGATAAACGTGCGTAGGCTGGATAAAAATTATAGTTGTTAGAATTTGGTACTTAGGATTAGATAATTTACGTATTCCCTGTGGGATCGACATCCGACTCTCACGAGTCTACTTTACTACTTGTTTGCGATACGTACACTTGCGTGTTGGTATTTAGCACCCAACAAGTTTTTGGCGCCGTTGCCGGGGAATACGGCTAAATTATTTATTTATTCTAATATCAAATTTGAGCAATTTTTCTTACTTCAGCCATTTAATTTTTTTTTTTATTTTTAATTTTGATTTTTTGGTTTTTTTTTTTTGTTACATGTCAGGTTACAATGCTGGGGCACCTCAAACGGGATATGAATGGCTTCCATATGACGAATACCTCCAAAACACCTATGATATTCCTCTGTTTTGTTCCGCATGTGGTGGAAATCATTATTCCGATCAATGTTGGGGATCACCAAAAGCGACAAATTTTGTCGAAATTACCAACGGAGGTTATTGGAACACTTACACCAACACATACGAGCAAAGCTTTCAAGACCAAGATTTGAACGAGTTTCAACATAGAGAGCCACAATTCGATGATTTTCAAAATTATTATCCAATGCAGCAGCAGACCACTGATGAACAACTTGATTTGGTATCCCTTATTGCCAAATTCATGAAGTCCACTCAATCATCATTTCGAAACATGGAGATACAACTGGAAGAAATGACGCTCAAATTAAAATCTGAATCTCTTGAAAATATTCCAGACGAAATCGGCAATGGTTATATCAAAGAAAATTCGGGTGAAGCCTGCGGTGAGAAAAATCTTCTATATCCGGAAAATAGTGTCGATGTGAGAGAAATATAATTTACGAAGACACTTGAGCATGATGAATCTGAGAAGGCAATTGAGCTAAACCACGAAGATGCCTCAGAACAAGAGAAGAAGGAGATGGATGTAATGATTGAAGATATTCTAGTTGTGGACCCTGTCGTTGATCTAAATGTAGATTTGAAGGCATCAATAGAGGTTGACGAGAAGACGAAGGTGTTTGAAGTGGAGATTATACGCGGACGTGAGGTTTTTGTGTACCGATGTGAGGGAGCGGGTGATGAATATCCCATCTTAGCTTCGTACCGATTGATTACAACCAAGAAAGACTACAAGCTAAGGTGGACCCTGATATATTGCAATGTTATCCATGCCTTGGTTGCAATTAAAGTGATAGAGCTCATGGATGGATGCGCAATCTACAAGGCTTTGGATTGGACATAACAGTTTTAAGAAGCAAAGTCTGGCTGAAGACTTAAAACTTAGCGCTTCTCGGGAGGCAACCCAAGCATTTATCGATTTTCGTATTTTTATTTATTTTTATTTTTCTTAGGATTTTAGCATGCGCAAACTAATAATTAATCTTGTTTTAATTTTTAGGTCGAAAATCAAACACTAAGGGATCGGACGTTAAATGTGGATTAAACGAACATCAAAGAGTGCATCCCGGAGAAGGACCTTCCGACTAATCAGGTGTATTCTATCCTTGAACTTTGTTCTAATTGCATTGAGGACAATGTAAATTTTAAGTTTGGGGGTGGAAAATTACTTGTTTTTATGTGCTTTAATTTTTTAGTTTACATGCCTTAGGATTTTTTTTAGTTTATTTATTGTTTTCCTAAAAAAAAAAAATTGCTTGAGTCGAACGCATCGATGAGTTATGATGATGAGAGATGATCAATGTTTAATGATGAAATTGCTTGTTTTGTTGTGCTAAGGATTAGATGTTTGTTTAGCTTTCGATTCAACGGAACTTAGAAACGAATTATTGCTAGGAATCACACTTTGTGCATTGTTTTGGTTGAATGTTTTGTATTTTAAATTTGGAGTTAATTTGTGTTAGATCATGCTATGTTCGGTTTTAGACCTCACCTTAGGAAATTTATGATACGAAGTATTGAGTAGTGAGTGATTTGGGATATGATTTGGGCCTTCTTTGATCCGTTTGAGCCTTTCAAGCCGACCTTTTTATCGAAATTTTCCTTAAAACCTTGATTTGAGCCTCAGAGAAAAGGTGTTCTTTCTTTTAGCCAATGTGTATAAGGTAGAATAGATGGAGATTCTTGAAAAATTACCCCTTGGAGTTCGGTTGAAAATTTTTATAAGGTCCTTCTTCTTCCCCGAAAAAAAAAAAAAAAAAGAGAAAAAAAGAAAAGAAGAAAAGAAGAAGAAAAATATA